AAGATAGGGCCTGGCTTTGTGGGGAGCGGGCGAATGCCATGGCTTTGCTCGGGATGCCCGGTTTTATGCGTTTTTAATATCACTTTTTATGAATTCAATGTCCGGATTTTGCATAACAATAAAGCGGATATCGGTCAGCGTATAAAAATATTCTTTCGGCATTGCCTTCAAAGAACAAAACTCAGGCCAGACGCTGAGGCGTCTCTGGGAACGAACTCACTAGATCTCACTACCAAAGGGACTATGGAAGTCGTAACAGGGAACTCTTAGGAACACACCTTATAACTGCCGGAATCTGCTCCAAGTAATAACGGATCATGACCCGTTTTGTGACCCAATCCCAATCCCAAGACGCAAGTGTCAAGTCCTTTGTCCCCCTCTATCTTCCAGTTGTGACCTTCTTGTAGACCTCACCACAAGTTGGCAAAACAAGACATTTCCACATTCCTTTTTTGTTTCTATCTGGCTTCACCAAACATCTGTCCAAAACGACCAGAAATCACACTGCTTGCAAATGTTTCTAGTGCTCCGGAGTGGAGAGGATGAATATTGGGATGGGATGGGGGGCTCCTGGAACTGCATTGAATGCCCGAGAATTGTATGCCATTTTTTATGTGACAAGCCCGTAGCAGAGCACGTACTAAGCTGACACAATGATGCAATCGTCACGTGCAGCAGAGGCAGCGGAGGCAGTCCAAGAGCATTTGCTGCGTTTGTTTTCCCATTTTTTCCCCCTGTTGGTTTTCCACAAACACTGTGTAATACAGGCCGGATCAAGGAACTCCGGGAAGCCAGTGGAGGGCAGGGATTCATGATTTGCCAGGGATTTGGTTGGTCAGTTGGATGCCGGGGCGCTGCTCCCTCGGCTTTGCGGTTTTGTCAGCTTACAACGTGAATAGTTTTGGTTTTAGTTTTATGGCAGAGAAAAGAACCCTTTCATATTTTAATTGTTGGGTCCTCTGTGCGGCAGCTGGCGTTGCGGGGCTTAGCACAGTGGTACGTGACGAGACCACACGCGCGCCTCTTACACCACATCGAGCCATTGGAGTGGAGTGCCCTGCCCTCGAGTGCTGCACATCCAAAACAAATGGAAGACTTTCCTGCACAGTGGCTGCCACATGGCTGCAGATGCAGATGCATCTGATCTTGGTCCCCGGGCCAGTGCATTGACTTGGCAATTAAAATTCTACAGATATGCGATACATTAATTACTCGCTTCAATTGAAATGCAAATGCCAAAACTCAGTCCAGAGCCAGTCCAGCAGCGTCTCCGGCTAGCGTGTCTCAGGCAAGTTAAGCATCGCCACAGAGCCAGTGAGACAGAGGCAGAGTCCGTGGTAGAGTCAGAGGCTGTGTGGCTGTGGCTGTGGCTGTGGCAGTGGCCGATTCCCTTGCCACAGCTAGTTTCCAGGAAAGTCGCTTCGCGATGATTTACAGCCAGAAGCGCATTTTATTCTGGCCGTTTTTCGCTTTGGCAGAAACAGAAACACACACACAAAAGTTGACACTTTATTGATGGCCATAAATTCCGACGTCTGGCAGCAATTAAAGCAACATGTCCCCAAGGACACGCCGCCCAGGCAGGCAGGCTGGCAGGCGTAGGACACAAAGAGTCAGTGATTTGTTTACAGAGATTAGCGTGCGCGTTGGGCAGGAAAACCAGAAGCAGAAGCAGGGAAAATTTTGTGTCAGGTGCCGCCGCCATCCAGCCAGGTAGGAGGACGCCTCCTCGTCCTCGTCCTCGTCCTCGTCCACATGCTCCTAGAGGCAAACAAAACGTCAGAAAGTGCACTGAATTTATGTCGCAGCGATTTACGATTCCAGGCTGCGCTATCCTGCCACTGTTTCTGGCCCAGATCCGATCCTTGTCCCTTAGTTCCGTGGAAGCGAAAGACGTATATTTTTGTCGAGATGGGAAAGAGTAAGCGTCAACGCCTCTATTTGGGTTACGCCCACTAGCGGCACAACAGCTTGTCAAACGCCTACAAATCCGAATCGCAATTCCCGAGCCCTGGCCTGAGCCCTCCGTTCTCCTTTTTTTGTGGATGTCTATCTTGGCCATGTGTGGCTGTTTCTGTTGGAAAAAAACTTGGCCATAAATATTGAAATTTATGTAGTGCGCGAAAGGAAGGATGGCCTAACAGAGCCAATCACCCAACTGGCATGTCCTGGCTTGTTCCCCCCCTTTTTCTGGTTTATTAGTGTTTATTTGTGGGATGGTTCGGGGCACGGCATAGTCAAAGGATTCGAGGAGGCTACTTTTCTGGCCCACTAACTTGATCCCTTGGATCTATTACTACCAGAGTTTCTGCAGTGAGGCTATCCCTCATTAGAGACTGAGAGTTTCAATCAGAATCGAAATGACAGATCAACAAGTACCAAATTTATGTTGAATTATTTTATAATGTACTACCCACGAGCGCGGCCTAGATCATTTGTCAAAACATGTCATTTCGGCGGAAAAACAATTTAACAACATTTAGCCAAAAAAAAAAAAACACAAACAAACACAAATGCGGCCAATCAACATAAATTCAAAGCGCAGTCGCCTGACTAAAATGCCCAAATGGCCATTTGAACGGCTTAAAAGTGAAAGTCTAATGTGGTTCAACGAATGCGAATGCGAAATACGGACACCGACCCAGCCTGGATTGGCATTGCCTTCTGGTACACACATACTCCCTGTCCAAATCCGAATCCGCGTCCACGTCCACGTCCACGTCCATGTCCATGTCCTCCCCCACCTCGCGAAACAGTGCTTGTAATTTTGTACAGAAAACTTTTATTACGATAGGATTTGTTAGTCTGGCTCTGGCTCTGGCTCTTGCTCTGGCTGTTGGCCAGTTAGCCGCCGCAGAAAGATCGAAATGCAAATGCTTGAGACAAGCAGTTGGGCATTTTGTTTGGGGTCGCCGTCGCCCCCAAATCAGGTTGTGGCGGTGGCCAAAAACGCTCCAGTTATGTCGAATAGAGCCCAAAAACAAAACATGAGGTAACTCAGCGGATAATGTGCATGCCCCGGAAAAACTTAGCAGGGAAATCTCTGCGTATTTTTCCGTATCGCCATGTAAAGCAAAGTGTTGTACATGTCCGCCGGTCTCAGACGCCATCGTCGTAATCTGTCTTGTTGGTCGGTCCACGTCGTCGTCTCTCCTTCCTCATATAACAATATTTATGTGTGCACTGCGGCATATGATATGTACGAGGTGCGATGGAGAAGTTGTTAGAAGTGTCAGATATTATAAAATCCACATAGAAATTTCGCCATGAAATTCCAATAAAAATCGTACGAATATCAAGAATATCATAGACATTCTTGAAGCATTTCCCTCGTACTTGAGTGAAACTCAATAAATTTATATACATTTCACAGATATTTTGATAAACTTTTAGCGACCACCACTTTGCTGGCCCAGCCACCCAATTTACGAGTATTTTAACCAAAAACTCTCCCAGAGACCAAATTGCAGGCTATAAATCTTGTGAACTGCTCGAACCCCAACGAAAAGAAAACCGGCCGAGAATTTGATTTGACATATCAATAATTTATAACGAAATTATAGACTGACTGCAGCGCAGACCGGAACTGCTGCCGGCTGGTAATTACCACCAAAAACCTGGCCATAAAGTGTGATCGCCGGGCCTCAATGAGCTGTCTATCTGGGAGCGTGAGCGGGAGCCGGAGAGGCGGAGACAGGGGCTGGGGCTGCTCGCTGGTTCGCTCGACAATCCGTCGATTAAAATCGGTGTTAAAATTTATGCAACCAGGTTTTTATGTGATTTCTATCGACAACAACAACAACAACGACTGTTGCCAGATTATTTCTGATTTGGCCATTTTCGGTTTGCCTTACGTGTGTGTAATTGTGGCCAAACAAGCGATTTATTGGCCAGGCCTATATCCACCCAGTGGAAAAGCCGATTCGATAGTTCGAGCCGACTGAAATTCTATTACCATTTGATGGGCAGAACAAGCGTTTGCGGTTGGTGAGCATTTCCCACTGGGTCTCTGGCCAAATATGGCAGCCGAAAATGTATCGCTATCTGGCCAAACAGACACCACACCGATCTACCGCACGGCACTCTCCTGCAGCACCGCGTTGCTGGGACCGACCCACTACCGTTTCCATTTGGGGGCTTTATTAATAGAAATAAATCAAGTTTTGTGCACCGACATCAATTAGCTGCAGCCATAGCGAAAACCAGAGCCGGACCAGCAGCGGCAGCTTCCTACCCACTGGCGTCAGATACAAATGTATCTGTATCTGCACATGCTGCTGGCTGCTGGCTGCCGGCTGCCGTTGCCGGTGCTGTTGATGGTGTTGTTGGCCTGGTCGTGTAGCAGCCGCCACATATGTTAATAATTTGCAAAATGCATTTGTCTGGCGATAACATGCAGGTGATACGCCGCCGCATGTTGCACCGCCGCCACCTGAAGTCGGAGTCTCCCCATTCCGATATCCCTTGTCTCTCTGGCGCCCCGAAAAAGTTTTGCTAGCAATTAGCGCTCTCGGATCGCGCTTATCGCAGCTTATGAAGCTATCAGAGTGTATGGGGCTCCGGGGATACGAGACTGTCATAAGTCAGACATGAAACCAGACCCCAATCAATGGGTAGAGGCTGCTGCTGCCTCCATTAGATAAAAATGCATTGGCCCATAGATAAAGGCCTTAAACGCAGCGATGCATTCCACCGATAGGACCCCATCCGATCCGATCCGTCCCGAGCCGAACCGAAAACGGGCGCCCAGCAGACAACGGCCAATTCATAATTTCTGATGTCGGTTTTCGGGTCCCCTCCCCCCAGCCCAACACAACCCGAGCAACAATGTCGCGCAGGCGTAACCCGATACAAGAAGGGACATACTCGTAAATCGCCAGCGGTGTGGGGCACCGCCGAGACACAGAATCAACGACCAAAAAACTGTATTCCAGAACCCAAGCCCAAACCGAAACCGAAACGAATATTTCTGTATCTGGTTTTCATTTCATCGCCCAACGATGGAGGTAGGGAATATTTTTTAATTTATATTTCGTTAATTTTTATATGAAGAGTTGACATTTCGGCCCGGTCGAGGACAACCATTCAGAGGCACCGTTCTCAGTCTCGATATCGTCTACGCCGTCGTCGTCGTCATCGTCATCATCGTCGTCGTCGTCTTCTCGGACATCGTTATCGCCCGTTTAGGCAACGCCGCTGGGAGCACAAGACTCTGATTCCGATCCCGATTCAAACTCTGACTCCGACTCCGAAACTCCCATTATGATAAATCATTTTGGTTTTTATTTCTTGACATGTTTCTTTCTCTCTCTGCAGGCAGAGAGCCTCAACCTTATCGCTGTTGTTTGTGTATTCTACCGGAAAAAGCATTTAGTATGTGGTTTTCATTTTAAATTTGGTAAATTTTTGATCGTACGATTCCCCAAGGGAATTCGCTAACTGGTTTGCCGAAAGCAGCTTATGGCCATACGCTAATGGAAAAACCTCAATGTTATGCTACTGGGACTTCTTCAGCCTCATATTTTCGGTTGTTGGCAATGATCCTTTTCTCCTCTAGATAAGAATATGCCACCAGATCGATGTAGATCACTAATACTGCAACGAATGGGATGTGGAAGGCGTGTCGTCGATCTGCAATGGGAGAAACTTACCCTGAGGCACGCCATAGGTGATGAACGTTTCGAGTTCAATGCCATACATAATGGCCACCAAAAGATAGTAGCAATTCACCAAGACCGGTGGTATTTGTAACACAAGGAAAGCGACACAAAGCCAGGAGATATTCTGCTCGGAGAAAATACAAAAACTCGATAGAATTTCCAAGCAGATCCTTCGAGGAGCATGCTTACCAGCAGGCCAGCAAAGAGCAGAGGAAAAGAGAGTATACCCATTATTGTGTATGTTATGCCCAGCACCCAAAAGCCGTGAGTTTCCAGACGAGCGTCCATGTTTTCATCGAGGGCTTCATGGGATTCTTCGAGATCATCGAACATCAGAAATGCCATGAGCGTATAGTACGGGATCATTGCGACTCCGGACCAAAAGCAGCCCCAACGGAGGTCGAGGTAATAGCAGCAGGACGAACACAAAACCATCTTCGCATCGAATATCAAATGAAGTATTTTGAACTGTATTTCGAGAACATTGACTTTAAAACCAAGTGACTCTGATCAAAGCAAATCTTGGGCATTAAATATATATATAGTATATATATATTCCCCGAAATGCAATTATATTTCTTATAAAACAATCTGGGCTGCCATTTGATTTACAATTAATTCGGGGAATGAAATTGGGTTACAAGTGCCAGGCCACAAAGCGTTGACCCTATAAGCGAACATTTAAGAATTCTGCTCTTAACTGGCCCATGATTCATGCAATGAATCGACCGACACCGGGACCGGGTTGCGACCGGGACCGAGCCCTGCTGCGAGACACTTTAAAGAGCAAAACCTGAAACAGAAACAGAAACAGATAGCATCGCAACAAAACGAAATGCCATAAAAAAGACCAAGCCTGGCCACAGACAGATCTGTGAGAGAGTCGGGCGTTTCGTAAAAATTAAGAAATTCATAAGTTCTGTGTTTCGCGTTGAAAGATTTTATGGGATGCGAGCTGCAGGCATCCGATCCATCCCATCCGATCCGATTCCCCGCCGATCACGATGCAGATTGAGATGGATATACGAAAGAGCTTGTTGAAGGCCCAGGAATTGTGGCTATAAAATTTATCTCTGGCCTGGCCTGGCCCTTGCTTAGCCATAAAACTGGGCATCAATGGGATGGATTCGAATGGGAATGGATTGGCATCCACACAGATCTGTCGCCCCCACAGCTTGCGACCAGCGAGTGCTGCGCTAATGTGACACTAAACTGATGTAATAAAAAATCCGCTTATCGCGCCAACAAAGCCACGGCAAACCCCAACAAAAAAACTAAATACCCGTAAGACCCGAGCACAATATGAAATTTCAGACTGACTGACAGGCCAGGCCAAGATCTCGCTCGGCCCAAGGGCAGAGAGACCAAAAAAAAGAGTGTACGGAGAATTAAATCAAATTTCAAAGTAGTGCAGCCAAGGCTTCAATGGAAGAAAATAGAAGAAATCGTCGAATTACCGTCACTCCATGACAGAGTCTTTGAGCCCCCGTACTCAGAAATACTGTTGCTGTTGCTGCTGCTGCTGTCAGGTGTCTAATTCGAATGTCAATGTCGCCGCCTGTCCCCTGTTCAGTCCAAGAACTTGCCCTCATAATCGTATATGGAAAATATGAGCGACCACAAATAAAAACTGAAATAATTATGGCAGAGCAGAGCAATCTTTTTTTTCTTTTTGGGAATTTCACTCAAAGTACTCTCGAGTACTCCACAGAGGAGGACGGTCGGATGGATGGAGCACACACCTCTCAAACACATGTCGGGAGAACTTGTTTCGCTGGTGGAGTACTCTTCTGCGGCTGCTGCTGCTGGGGGGACTCCGACTCCGACTTTTCGATGCGGCCATCGATCAAGTTCGAGTGCCCGTGCTTCAATTATGCGTAATTTAAAAGAAATTAATGTCGTGCAAGAAATTACTCTTCGGACTTTGGTTTTTTCGGGAATTGGGGGGTTTTTTTTCGTTGTTGGGGTCTCTTTGGTAAAGACAACATTTAAGAGCGCGACGAGCGCTGTAACTTTCGAGCACATAATCATAATACTTATATTATTGGCATTAAATGCAGGTTGCGACCAAAGAAAAAAAGACTTAATAAATTGGAAAGGAAGAAAATTACTTCTTTATGAGGTTCAGAGGAGGAATACCACAAAAATATCTAAGCTATTGTCCAAAAGAGTCCTCAATAAATGCATTATTGAATGAAAATTCATATCAATTTACCAATAATGTATTTCCAGCTAATCTGAAATCAGTTTGCTGGAATCAGAGTACCAGGAACATAGGCCACGGGGGCCGGACAGACCAATTTTTCTTACTCGTATCTCTGGTCCGGTATCTGGTCATACCTCATCCTCCATCCTGGTGGCAAAGTCAATTTCTGTACTACTTATATGGCCTTTTCCCCAAAAAGAAAAGAAAAAGCTACAACGTAACCCTCAATTATGATATATATTTTATGAGAGCACTTGAAAACCGATGGCAGAGGACGAAGACGAGGAGCGGGAGGCAGGGCAGGGCTGGCCCTTTGTGCTCCACCACACGAGAGACTCGACTGGAGAGTATAACAATAAAATAAAGTGCAGTTAACACATGACTTGGCGCAAATAGTGTCACATTTTGATAAATGACACTCGTTTGTCAAACAGGCACCATATCCAACCAACCCGCCGTATCAGTCCCTTCCCGTATCGGCACTTCCCTTGCCGTCAGCCAAGTTTGAGCCGCGACTGCAAAATGAACTCCCAAGTATGACGACCCCACTTTGTGTCTTACCCCCTCCTCGCCCAAGAATATCGTTTAAGCCAAAAACGTCTTGTCTGGGGCGAAGGTGTTCGGAGTGCGTTACACGCCCCAAGAACGGCACCAAACGGCACCATCTCTTGACGGATGGGCCCGGCTGACTGAGGGACAGCTTTATTATGTCTTAATTCGTACCCCGTACTCCCCGAACTCTTTGGCCTGGGATTTGGAATGCAGGCAGGACCGATCCCAGCAAAACATTCCAGCCAGCAGTGGGTCAACTTTCGTTTCGGGGCGTGGCAGTACATCCGCGTTGGTCCGAGCTGTTAAAAAAAATTGAATTAAATTTGGCGAACGCGCAAATTAATTTCCTCCTCGTAGTGCGTGGGGCAAGCGTTTGCTTGTAATTTCTTAATACTGCGCCCCAAAAGAGAGGTGAAATTCATTTCATTAGGTGGTCTCTCGGCTCTCGCGGACCTGGGGCCTGGGGTCTGTGGTCTGGGGTCTCTCTGGTCTCCAAGCAGTGGGCGCGGCCGTATTGCCAAAACTTTATTTACCGCTAGAACTCAAAGCCGAAGGAGATGCAGATGGGAATGGGACTGGGGACGGTGAGGTCTTTGCCGAGATGATCATCTGCCGTTGGTTTCTGGGTAGGTGTAGCCATAAAGTTCGCGCTTGCAGGCCAAAGTGAAAGAACGAGTTTCCTTCTCGCTGTCGCTCTCCTCTTGGCCATAACAATTACAAACACTTTGGGCCAAAAGCTATGGAGGACTCAACTTTGTTTCAGTTTTGGGGCGTGGTTGATTTTTGAGGGGAGGCCTGTTGTAGGCCAAGCAGCGGCATGCAGCGAGATGCCCCAACGATCCAATCTTTGCGATCCAATTGACTTTGTCAGGAAATACGAGGAACGACCCAGGAAATCTATGCCCAAATCCAAGTCCCACAACGACAGGGTGTCCACTGTTCGATAATTCAGGTTGGGTGTGTTCGTGGCTCTCGTGAAAGTGGCACAAACCAATGCAGTAGGCACTGCCACTGCACACACAATGCATTCAGCATTTGATAGTCAATAAATTTGAACATTAGCCCGAGTCTTCGCCACTCGGCACTCGTCTATTGGCAGGGGCAGGGGCAGTCGCAGTGGCAGTGGCATTGTCATACGCGATACACACAGGGCGTATGTGCAACGTGTTAAAAATAAACAGTTGTAAAACAGATCTCAACTAATCCCAGCATCATGATAAATTATGACTCGCATCGTCTTTTGTTCAATTTTCAACTCATCGTCAGCTGTAGATGCCACACCAAAGGTGCTCCAGGGGGAAGTGTGTGGCAGGTTAAATAGTTGGATCCGTCTTGGATCCCAAAAAAAAGAAAAAGGTGTCACCATCCAAAAACCCACAAACAAAAGACTAAATGGATGGAAATAAACTTTGGCTGAATGGAAAATGTTCATCTCAGGGGCTGTCGGGGATGGGGCGGACAGAAACATATTGTTGGCAGTCAAATATGCCACATGATATGGCAAATTCGACTAGGCAGCTAAGAAAATAGTTATTTCAGGAAAATTGCACTAAGAAAGCAGTGAAGCTGCCATTTTCCACTTCTAATACTCTTCCAAAATATTCCTTGATATTATTCTCTTTCATTTCTCTCAGTGTGCCGGTGTTCCATTCACAAAAAGCGCATCGTCTTAGCTTAAGCTTACAAAATGATGCATTTTCCTATGCAACAGTCAGGCGGCAACGACATAATTTAGACTTTTCGCCTTGGCAGCCACAGTCTTCCCCCACTTTTTCAGTGGGTAAAAGCTAAAAGAAAATACTTCCCTCCGATCCACTCTCCCCGGTTCCCTGGTTCCCTATTGTCTGGTGAATTAAGTGCAAACATTAGCAGCAAACAAAAGCCAGGCGGGGCAGAGTGGGACTACGATGATGATGATGATGATGATGATGATGATGATGATGATGATGATACCGATGATGATGACGATGACGATGATGCTGAAGACGATGTTGGGCGTTGCTGATAATACCCCATGGACTTTACACCTAGTCAAATGGAACGTGATAAAGCTTTTCTCTCTCTCTCTCTGCCTCGTGCAAATGATTATCAATCATTTTGGGATTAAAATTCCTTGTGGTGTTTTGTCACACATTTCCCTACCTTCCATATACATACGTATAGATGTATGTCTGTGTATATGTATACTTATATTGTAGATCTGCATATACTTAGTATGGTTGATGCTGCTGCTGTTGCTGCTGCTGTCGTCATCAATATAAACTGCGATGGTATTTAGCATAAAAAAGTCTTTCACTGCCGCAGCGACGAACGGCCCTCAAATGCTGCAGGTGTCCCGGCCACAAATCTCCCCAGGGAGAAGGCAAAAGCTACAGTGCAACCAATAGACACACATTTACACAGCATACAGCATACAGCACACAGATGCAGATGCAGATACAGATACATCTACATCTCATGGGTTAAAGAGTGTTGCCTGACAATATTTCCTCGTTGCCCGATCTGTTTGCCGTTTGTCGTTTGCTTTTGTTATATTTCTTTTTTTGTTTTTTGTTGTATCTGTTTCTGTTTCAGTTTCTGTCTCTCTGGTTTTTTACGTTGAACGATTCTCACGTTTGTACCTCCTGACAAGTGGATTTAGCGGCATTGATGTATGAGTCTACAGATAGTTTCCTTTCCTTACCGTCTCC